GGGCAGATATGGAATTCCATACCCCCCAGATACTGGTGCCCTTTTGTGCCCCCACTAGTAAATTCCTAGCTACGCCACTGAACAGTAATTAACAAAACACGGAATTAATCCAAAAGGAGGACGGTGAGCTTACAGAATTCGTATCCAGAATATTTTAAAACTCCAATTAATTGGTTGGTAAATAATGGAAGGCTGAAGATTTCCTTGTGCTCATCTATGTATAAGGCGCTGGTGACAACAGTGTTCTTTCTACGAATTTAGGAAATGCAGTGAACACAAAATCCTTGTGGACAGCTAAGAGGCATAATTATGTCAGTACATGATAAGTGGCAGGGTGAACGCGTCAATCGCTGTGTAGTGGATGTGCTAATAATAAGATTATCGGTATATCAAAGGCTGATCCAGAACCACATTAGAGGGGACAAACTTGCCTGGGGGCAAAATATTGGAAGTTTTTCCGTTGAAGCTTTATGGCCATTGTTTAATAAGAGTTAGGCTACACTTTGGGGGTTTTAGACGTCCTTGGAAGGAAGGAAAATTAAAATCAATGTAGACAAAACATCTTTTTTTCTGAAAAAAAATTGGCTCGGTAATTTTTATTAGAACAAAAAACACATGTATTTACTCGTTGTGGCAAAGATAGAAGATAGAAGAATCCCGCTTTTGCTCGCCCAGGATTTACAAGCTAAGTTGCCAGGATGCAAAAAGGAAAGGAAAAAGAGAAACAATAGCTGATCGAACAGGGTGACAGAAACGCGGATGCAGGTTTAAGCAACTTTCCTAGTGGGGAAAATACTACATACAATGGAAAGATTTGAAGAGATGAATTTTAAAATCTTTATTACAAGGTTATGTAGCCCTGCACTCACAGTAGGTCTTGGTCTTTATCACATGTGGTTTACATATAAAAGGTGAAAATCCGTCTCCAATTTAGGAGGTCCTATTGCTGCCCGTGCAGTATGCAAACACAGTTAACTTTAGTGGCACCCTTACCACATGCTAAAATTTGTGTTTAAGACTGTTGACAGTATTAAAAAGCTGAGAAAATTTACATGAAGTCTTTTGCAGAGCAATGTAGAAAAAACAGTTTGCTTAATTGGCAGTCATTTTATGCCAATCGTATTTGTGTAGCTCATAAAACCGTCCATATTAATGTACATATATACGTGTATATCAGTGTCGCATTCTGCCGGGACAGGAACAATTGAGGGCCATTTTAAGCGCTGAATACCTTCGAAATGTTACTAGCCTACGTGTATCACCTTTCTGGGGGCAGTAAAGAATCTTTGTGATATGGATTTTAAAACCTGGACGGTCATTTTTATTTAAAAAACAAATAAACAAAACCTGATGTAGCCTATACATGTCAAAACTGACCCCGTACGGAAAGCATATTAGTACAGTGAGAAAATGTATCTTCGCCATGCAAAAACTCAAGCAAATGAGTCGACTCGAGTCCCTTTATACTAGCCTGACTCAAATAACTTTGAGTGCAAAAACTAGACTATGTTTAAATCTTGTTGTGACTTATCCGAGGAGACACCTTTCCTGCGGGACCACCACACTCACACACAGGCTTCAACCTGGGTACGTTCGCGCATTTTGGCAATTTACAAGTCCCTTTTGGTCATTCAGCTCGTCGTCCACGATGGGTGCATTCCACCAAATCGTTGTATTTATGCGCGCGAGCTCATTAATATTGATCCCACGGAATTTTACAAAACAGACCATAATCAGGAAGAATCATAGAAATTTTTCTATAAATCCCGAATTTGAGACTGATAGTTTCCAGTTTGGGGTATTTCTTTTACAAAAAGCCCCAAATTGTGGGCTTATTTTGGATAGAGGCAGACGGCTACATTCGGAAATGAGCGCTTTGTTTTACTACTGTTTTGGGGTATCTTCCTTGAAAGGCGAATAAAAAGCTTTTCGTGGCTAACCCCCATGAAAATGAAACGAAAAGTCATCTTCTGGCCATAATCTTAAATTTCCAGTGAACAAACGGAGGCCAATCTCTTCACGAGAGTCAACAGACGGCGCTATTTCGCTCCGACTGATTTTGCACTGTTTCTATGGGCGCGTATTTGGTGTAGTGCAACCCGTTGGGAAGAGCTGATGGCTTTGCACACGGTGATTAGCTACATCCTGCACGACCTGTGACCGCAAGTCGTTACGACGCGCAGAGCATTGTAAGTAAATTTCCGCCAGGCGCGCGAACTCGCTCAATGCGTTACATAATTATAAGCGGCGGTTATCAATTTTTTTCAGAAAATATTCTCACAACAATATTGTTCATCCAACATTGATCAAGATAACCAACGATTTGAAATATATCGCCAAAAGATACGTGATCAGTGATACTTAGAAGAAAAATTATATGTTCCACATAATGATCACACTGTCAATGTTCCCCGACACTTTGTCCGTGCCAAAACATTGCTATTGGCGAACCAATAATTTTTAACCACGCTTCGCTAACAGGAAGTGATGACCCCGCGGTCACAGCCTCGTGCACAATGTAACCAATCACAGTGCCAAACTATCAGCCCTTCCCCATCAGCTTTGGGAAAGTGCTTCCTGTACTATAAATGTTCGAGTTGTGGTTGTTTTTATTTTCAGAAACATTTAAACTTTGTATGCACCTGAATTTTGTTATCAACAGCCTTGGAACCAGTGTATATCATCAAACGCAAAGACAACATAAAATGAGCTATGTTTGAGTCCGTCCTTGTTAGAAATGGTCACGTACATGTGGCAAAAAGTCATGCATCGTGCTCAAACTGTGGCTGAAATGTTATAGAAAGAGCAGTAGTTGTGACATTGAAGAACTTTCCACTGCAGTAAGCTGCTGTTGGATCAGCTGCATAAATAAATCATTCAAGACCTGATCAAAGAGTTAGCAAGAAAAATCTTAACGATCCCAACTTCAAACTGTGCTTAACAGACATGGGGGTGATCCGCCTTCACTTCATGAGCTGAGTGAGATGGGTTATTCGGCGAAACAAACTATGCACGGTGGGGACACGTATAGCTCGCAGATATGAAACTTCAGGAGAAAATAGCACTGGAGATCCATGCAATTTTGTTGTGAAGAGATCTGAAAGTTATTTAATCCAGGTTCTAGCTGATTAGTGGGTAAACAGGACCTGTAAAATGCAAAACGGTATAATTGGCATCACGCAGAATTATCAAGCCAGAGACAGATTTTGCATCACGTGGTCAGAAGGGTCACAAATCCCCCGGGACATACAAGGCCTCCTCAACAATAAGCCCTATTCTCATGAGTATAAGGTGGGATATTGATGATGTCAAGAAACTCAACTGAAATGAATTGGTGTGTCCCAAGTGAAAACCACGTTGATGCCGAGGATTGGAACAGAAAGGACATCCCTCTAGTGTCATTGCCAACCACAGATTCTGCATGGTGGGGGACTTTCTGACAGCTAAGAAACGAGGAAATGAGCGTTTATCAACAATAAAAGGCAACATCTCATCGAGAAAATGGTAGGCTTTCATAATGCAATGTAAGAACATCGCACCAAAACATTCGCTGATCTCTATAAAGCAAAGAAGAATATACAGAAGACCATCAAAGCAGATAGTAGCAAGTTGGCAGCGACCGTTCAAAGTGTTCAGTGCCGTTAAATAGCAACTGTCTTCAAGCATGAACTCTCTCTCTGTCCCTGGCAAAGCCTGGAGGTGAAATGAACTCGATCCCAAAAGCAGAGCTGTTAAGCATCTTGTCATTTAGAGTTGAGATACCCCAGATGTTTCAGACACTGATCTGAAGACATGTATTGTGGTAGATGTCCATGAACTCATCAGCGGCGTACCCAACTTTTTTTAGGGTGGGGGAGGGATTCAAAAGCAAATGCGTCTTCGGCCTCATTCAACATGGTGTTGGGAGACGAAAATTAGAAGCTTTACTCATGCTCCCGATGTCCTTGCTTTTCTTTGCTGGCCGGTGTTGTTTTCTTATGGTATTGGTGCTAAAGTCTGATAAATAAATTTACTGATTGCTTACTTACTTTATATACTCATCTATAAAATATTCTTTATGACCAACAAAAACACCTGTTTTTATTTATCCACCCACCTGGTGGATATAGCAGTAGCTATCATCCAGTCTTTGGGAAAGCCTCAGACGACAGATGTCAGACATTTGGCGAGTATGCTGACGTGTTTTTTAAAGAGAAATGTCGTGGATAACTCTGAGGAGCTTATGACAAAAGTTGATAAGGTGTTTGGGCGCTACATTGGAGGTAGCTCAATCAAATTAAGGCAGTAACCATGACAAAGCACAGGGGGACAAGAAATCAATCAGGAAACTCATTGACGGATGTCATGTACCACTCCTGCATGTGTGGAACCAGTTCATCGCTCTCAATGAAAAATAAAATGTCCCTTGCCTACTTTTTTGTCGGAAGCTATCTTGGAGAGAGGCAAGGAGCTTTCAGACCTGTACGAGTTGGTAACTGAAGGGGAAGTCTCCAATTTTACAACAGCAAGATCGACAAGAAGACAGAACCAGAACTGCAAGGAAACAATGAGGAAGCTGACACCGGGATTACACCCGTGTGACGTATTTCCTATGATCTATGCAAGGCCATCGATCAGCCCTTCCCAGCCTTGTTCGGGCGCTGGTTGACGAGCGATTGTTGGTCAGAGAGAAATGTAACTCACGTGAACCGCCTACGTGCGACCAGGATGGCCCCGCAGTAATGACAGCTAGTTCTGGCTGCCGGATCATAGTCTATGTCAGTGAAGCTCAATTTTACCAAAGTATCACAGTATTCAACAATTTTATGACTACGTTTATGATATAGTTTCACCATAGGCCAACCGGTTTACATTGATCATCTATTTCACTATTTTTATTCAATCCGGGATCCTTTTTCATCTGCTAGCTTTTTGCCAAAAAAGGCGCATTCTTTGACAAAGACTCTCTTGAACCCTCCCCCCTTCATCAAACTCAACCGCAACTCCTCCGAGCACCGCCCCATCGTTACTGCCGACAGGTTCACACTGGCCCTGCAGCTGAAGCGCGCTGCCGAGTTTCATAACAGTATAGTAATGTTAGTGACCAGTCTAAAGCCGACCTTGGATAATCATTGGTCCCTAATGACATGCGTGTGTACGTGCTTAAGACTAACGCGACTACCAACCTTTTTGTGTCTGATCCCCGCCTCGGTGAATTCCGAGAAATTCGTTCAGTTGCACACACATACATATGTACAGTATCCGCGGTACGAGATTTGCATTGTAGTCGTCATCTGTAAGCGGTCAACTGGTAGTATTAACTAGTAAGCCGTATCAAAGAACATTTCTCACTTTTTGGCATTTAGATCTCAAACTATGCTTGCCAAAATGCCGGATGAAAAAGAGGAGAACACTGAGACTTATCTGGATGCTTTAAATGGTAAATGATTCACGTTGTTTGATAAAGGCCTATCATATAGTTAGGTCTAACATGAGTTAAAATAAACGAAGGCGACTTGACACAGTGCTTGAGCAGATGAGTATGAATGAGCATGGTCAATGTACGCTAGGCCCATCCTAACGTTAGGCTAACGATAGTCCGAGTAACTTGGACCCCACAATCGCCTTTTTTAACATTTGGACATCGTCGGGCGAGCACTGGCGAGGGTCCAAGTACCTTCCGTAAGCCTCAGGCTTATTGCAAATACTGCATGGGTGATTTTGCACAATGGTGGAAAGGCATTGTGGGAAGGAAAAAGGAGCAAACATTGCCCCTTTTTCCTTCCAACGCCTGTTTCTACCATTGTGCAAAATCACCCTTGCAGTATTTGCGATAAGGCTTATTGGTTTTTTGCTTCCTCAAAATAGCTCTTACGAGGCCTAGGCCTTCCCTGAATCAAAATCCCCTGAATTCATACCTAAAATGGTCCTTATACTGTCTAATGCACCCAGGTTAGGATCAAGTCAGAATCAGAGATTCCAATAATAATCATTTGGAAAGAAAAGAGAAATTTCTTCTTCAAATCGAAAATGGTCTTGTTGTCGAGCACGATGTTGCCATCTTGTTCAAATAGCGATTTTGAGGTCACGGCGCTTTGGCACCGACGACTGATTCCTGAGCGAGGTATGTCCAGTAGCTGGGATCACATCGAAGCTGTACACTGAAAATTTCGGCGCACAGGAATCAGTCGTCCGCGCGCATGCGCCGACACGGCATGCTTTTTGTGAATGGTCCTCTAGAGGCCGGCCAAACTCAGAAAGTAGACATTTTAACAATTGTTTCAGAAATCTTTAAAAGAATGAGTCTATCAAGAAAATGAAATTTGCGACACACACAGATTTATTATTCCTTCTTCAGACACCAATTTAAGTAATAAGATGATTGTCAACGTTGTTGCTGCATTAGGATTGGGGTAAAAAAGTTCCTTGTGGGATCATAATAAGTATAAGGTGACGCAGTGCATTTGTTCCCATCTCTCAAGGTGTGAGTGATGTAAAGCACAAAAGCACTCATTACGAGTCAACTTGTCTCTGTCAATTTGTCTCAACGGTCAACTTGTCTGTCCATTTGAGGCATAAATGGTTGAGTTGTCCCCCCGGTCGAGCTGTCTCAATGGTCAATTTGTTCGCAGTCAAGTTGGCAAACCGTTGAATCGTCCGAGCCCCCATGTTTACAGGATCACACGAGCATTGTGAGTAATTATATGTATGTAATGTGTGTCATGATTTTGGAAGCTGAATGACCCCAAACAAAGAAGAAGTGTCACAGTGTCGTCAATCCAAGGCCGTTTCATTTGGAGTACGAGCTACATGTATGTTGAGTGAAATCAATTAATGGAAAGGAAGGCCTATGAAGGGTATTAGGACTCTACGATTGCCCAACTACATGTATGTCCGAATGTTAAAAGAGGCGATTCACAGGGTCCTAGTTACTCATTCTAGAAAAAATAGACTTCCAGCTTTTGGAAAGTTTTTTAAAAATGTTCGATGTGCAAGTTTATGTGACTGTTAAATATGAAAAAAGTGCTTTGAATCACATGTAATGAGTGACACCCTGTGCTGTAAATTTGTTGTTGATTTGTGGGCTCCAGTGGTTTTTGATAAACCTTCCAAACATGTCAAACGGGGAGTGCAGAAATCTGGCCGGATTTGGGTTTTTTTAAGAAATTTCTGGAAATGACCTTTGTGCAGTACTCATCTGAAATGTGGGTTCATCCATATTTGTGCACAAACCTATGGAAAACATGAAACACACATACATGTACATGTACATGTATGTAGTCGCAAAAACATACATGTAGATATTTGTTGCTTGGTCGGAATACTTGGTGTACTTTTTATCAGAAGAAACAGCTTGTATTGTAAGTTAGACAGTGCACGTGGTTAGTTTACCTCAAGCGGAGTTGATGTGCTGGAAATGACATGGTGAAGATCTTCAGCAGGCATAATCACAAAAGGAATGTGAAATCCTGGGGGATTTGCTTTTCAAGTAACATTTGGTTTTTGTGACAATAGTAATCAAATTGTGATTTATAATTGTCAAATTGTTAAGTTTTCTTTCTGTGCCTCTGTACACAGCCTTTGAACGGAAACCATCTCGCGAGATCCCATCAGAGCTTGAACAGCTACTGTGCCGAATAGCTCGCAATGGAGAACCATTGTAAGTGTTTGAATACACTCCTACTTAAGTCAGATTAATGTTGAGGGGCAGAGTTGTTGTTGAGGACTTGCTGGTGACATAAATTACCACCAAATATTGAGCAGTCAGTTGTGATGAAAGTGGCACAAACTGACTGTGGCAAAATTTGATGTTCGTGAAAAAAGTAAAGTGATAACTTCTGATACAACAAAGTTTTCAATCAAACTTTTGTGACAAACACACTCCAAAAACACTCGAAATATACTAAGAGAGTACTTCGCAAATATCTGGCTATTAAAACAGATGTTCACATCAGATTGCTCAAAGTCTTTGGCTGTGCAAAGCCTTCAAGGCGAATGTAAGAAAGCCTTTAAGGTGAATGTAAGTGCACACGTGTCAATGTATTGATTCCCTAAAACAAAAAGAAAAAGGTCAAAGAAAAAGGTCACATACATGCACACTGTAGTCAACTTCATTCATCAAGTTTTGTATTTGATACTGTCCTGGAAGCAAATCCTCAGACTGGCATTTCTTATGAAGCCAGTTGCAGCCTGAATGTAACTATGGGGATTACAGTCACATTTCATGAAGTTTGGACATTCAGAGACAGCAAAACATATAGGTTTTTTTTTTTTTGTGGCCACAAAGGAACACATTCCACTCTGTAAATATTTGCTTGTAAGGTCATTTGCATATATTGCAGAGTACCAGTGTGGTGTCTACATGTAATTATAGTGCAACCATCATGAATATGCATGTACAGTGCATCAGTGCAACTTTTGATTAACTAGGTGCTGTGGTACCACAATGTACATGTACATTGTACCACAATATCCCACATGATCTTGCAATAACATGCAGAATATTGCATGGCAACATGTAAATTACTTGTCCCCAAAATGATTTATGGGAGAATGTCATTTGCATGTAGATTATATATGCCACAGCCCAAAACTAGTAGGGCAGTGTATTTTGGGCAAGGGTTCAGCATTTGCCTAACCTCTAGCCTTCTGGTACATGTAGGTTTCCCTGGAGTAAGCTCAAGCCGTTAGTTGTCACCAAGTTGGAGAATGTGATCCAGGAGTACATACAATCCAACCCCTGTGAGGAGGTGCCTGTGCTGCCAAATGTAGAGAATGTGAAGTTTGATGATATGAGGGAGCGTTTGCTGCGGGCGCTCCATGCATTCAACAGGTGCGTGCACATACCTGTGAGACACCGCCCTAGCCTTGGGCCAATTTCATAGCACTACACAACAGTTACCATGAAAGTTGTGCTTACCATGACTAAAAAGTAATGCTGTTTAAGCACTGTTTCAAAGCATGGATGTACTATTTACTGAGTTTTCAATTGATCATCACTAGTTCTACTCGGAAAAAAAGGTGAGAACATTTGGACCACCTCACTGCTGTGAAGCCTGCTCTGGCACATCAGATCTTTTTTAAAACTTGGCAATGTTGGCCTGCATGTAGACACTCCTAAGTAAAACATCTGTGAGAGTTTCAATTCAATTTGACATTTGGCGGTGTTGTTATTGTCACTTGAAAATCAAGGCCACACACATACCAGGCCAAAGTGGCCAGTGGTTGACAAGTGGTCGTCACTTGAACTTGCTATGTGGTGTTTAGTTTTTGTCTCAGCCTACATGTATTTCTCACCAGTGAGGGATGTGCAACAAGCAGGTAGGAGTGCTTCAGGCCATGTTGTTCTTTCATTTCCCCCATCCAAAAACTCACCCACGTGCACTTTGGTTGTTTTACTCAGTGCTCCATTCACCATGCAGCGTCTGTGTGAGTTACTTACACATCCAAAACGCTACTACCAGAGAAGCGACAAATTCATGAGAGGAGTAGAGAAGGTAAGAACATTCTCAGAAATCACTTGCTGCATGCATGGTGTACTCGGTAAATAAGAAGAATTCTCACCCTTTTCTAACCTCGGGCATGTTTCCAAGGAAATTTCTGGAATCTTTTACAATTCAGTAACAATTTCTTTGTGCTTTTTCATAATTACAACATCAAGCTAGGCATCTTAGAAAGCTTAAAGACATTGTCTTTGTTTGGTAAAAAAATTACAGGGATAAGAGTCAAACATGGGTAATTCTCTTAAACGCTTGGAATCTCTCCTCAATCATACATTGAAAGTATTGTTTGTGATGTAACAGAATGTACAGGTTGTTAGCACCGTAACACCAACTGGAAAGCGCATCACCCATTCCTGCGAAATCCGGAACCCCAACCTCGTAATAAACGGATTCCCGTCAGACATCCACACACAAACAAGTACTCCCTCTAGTGATTCCCAGGCCTCAGGTGACTCGGCCCCCTCGGATGACCTGCCTCCCTCGGATGGGACCACTCCCTCGGACGGGATCGCCCATACCAATGGGCAAGAGGCCACTGGTACCCAGCCTCTCCCCGACGCAGTATCTTCCGCCCCGGAGCAGAGCGTGGATTCCACTGGACAAAATGTTGAAGCCCCGGCCGCGGAACTTGAAACGGACCAGGCCAATGAAAGAACTACCAGCAGTGATCATGAGTCACCTCTGATCGCTGGCGATCCCCAAGACGGCAAAGAGTCAGCAACAACAAACAATGAAGCAGATGCTTGTAAACCAATGGAAGTCGCAGATACCTCAGCTGCAGGAGATTCAGATGACAGTGATGGCAACAAGGGTTTGTATTCAGTCGCTTTCATTAACCCTTAACCTTCCTTCCCCTACCACACAGAATTAAACAGAAGTAACGTGTTTAATTCTGTGGGGATAGGCCTGGTAGGCCCATAACAGCTGGGTTTTGCATTGGGTTTGGCATACCTCAGAAAAACAAAGTCCAACAGCCTCATACAGTCCCATATTGGTGTTTAACTTTGTGTGAATGCGGAAGGGTAGGGCCAGCAACCCTTGGGGGTTAGGGTTAAGCAACAAAATTTAACAGCTGTCAAGAGTTGTACATTGTCAGGTTTAGTAGTCAACACATTGGGAGGAGTAAACTAATTAACTACTTAGAGCCAAGGCCAGCATTCACAGTGCCCAGTCCTCTATGCGACAGTGTTGTTTTCGAGTCCATCACAAGTCCTTTCACAAGGCCAGTCATAAGTAACAGGGTGACCAACGACAAAAGAATACTTTTGTCACAGCTCATTTGAATAGCTTGTGAATTAGCTTAAGACTGAATGACTTATGAGGGACTTGTGATGGACTCGAATACAACACCACTATGCAGTGAAGTAACTTCCATTTTGCCTATGATGACATCAAGCATGGTTGTCAAGCCTAGGTATTATTTTTTTAGTTGAAATTTAACTAGAAAAATAGGACTGAAGATTGGGATTATGATCAGGGGCTGTGGCATGAGCTATGAACAGCTGCTTTGCACATGACATGAGACGGTCAGGTTGTCAAACAATGAGAGAAAATTAAACGATACACAAGAGAGTTTATCCAAGAATGAATGAACTAAGTTAAGGAATATTACCCTTAACTCCCTAAGGTGTGTGCAAAATCATATTAACATTGGAGGATTCAGGAGTGTTAGGGTTACATGTTCCCATTTTCATGGTAAAGTTTTACTTTGGACTGACAAAGTAAACTGCAACTTGTTCCCAAAGTTTACTATTGGTTCATTCTGCTGTTGTGTAAAACAAACCAATGAATGCTACATAGTTGTTTTGCCTTGTGGAAAAGAACGATCTCTCCCATCACGAAATGATCCTGACTGTCGCACTCATAAATATTCATTATTTGTGAAATATTGTTGATTGTAGGAGATGCGGATCATGACAGCTGCTCCTCCATGGACAGCGCAGACAGCGGCGACAGCTCTCCAGATTCAGCGTTACCCTCCGGTCCTGCATATTTTGACACCCTACCTCCAAAGGATGCTAATGCTGCAAGTGATCCCACTCCAGCCCCAACAGGTCAGTTGATTGTTTAGGCATCATGTAGGCCCAATTTCATGGTGTTGCTTATCGAAAACAGAACCGTACTATTGCTGGGTCCATTCAAATATATTTTAATTGAATAATCTGCCTCCTATAAAGCATTAGCAGGCTATACATGGCTTTACAAAACAGAAAAACTTTAGGAGAACAGTACTTTTTGGGCCTTAGCGGGTATATGCCTCAGCTGCTTTAAAGTTTGCTCATAACACCTTGGAATATGAATAGAAGGCAATTTTGTAAGGAAATAATCATTTTTTCCCTTTTTGATTCACCAGTTTTTCACCTCAGAAGTGTTTGATTTTGAAAAAATGTTCAATTATACTATTATCAATCAATTATCCAAATTTTGGAATAATTGGCACAGCCCTAACCTTCATTGAATACTGCAGAAAATTCTGCCCACTAACAGTTAACATGTGCCGTGGATTACAAGGAACTTTATCTTATTGCAAATACGTACATTGTGTAAGAAGGTTCATGTGCTTGAAGGTTATTAGCATAACATTTCTACTCCAGCAAGTACATGTATATGTTAATAATCATGGACACATCTTGCATTAGTAATCATCATCATAAATAAGCAGTTATACGCGTGACTGTATGGACTATTTGCTATGCAGAATGTTTGCTCTGGAGTCCACTGTCAGTGAGACAAGGTTGCTGAGACAAGCCAAATTGCCTTATTACAAGGCGCTTGTTGTTGAAAAGGATTGCAAATAAATAAAAACAAAGAGAGACTTGAGAATTTGCTGTTTTGATAGCATTTTTGTTGAAAAATTTCTTTATATCAAGAATTTACTGTAATTTTTTATGTACAGATTTCAGGCAAGCATGTTCACCGGTTTAATTTGTCCACCAAAATTACATTAAAAAACTTACTGAACCAAATTATTTCTTGGCCAATGTGGGTCACTGGCTCGTCTTAGATTGGAGACTAGAGGTTTATTTTTTATTGAAGTTTGTTCATATATTCATCTTTTACTTTGAATATCTGCAGGGCCTGACTTGGTGGATTCCTCTACTGATGTGGGAGGGTCAACTACTGAAGAAGGATCAAGCTCGAAAACCACATCAGCCCTCCAACCAGATCAAACTCATTCCATTTTTACCCAGCCTTCACAGGAAGAACAGGTGTCCCCATTGGTCACATCGGCTGCTACAAGTACTGTGGACACACCAGCAGACCATTCAGAAGCGGCCGTAGAACCATCTGACAAGACAGACGACCCCTCAGAAGAGCCTGCCAGTCAATCATCGGCATCTTCAGAGCAAGTTAGTCAGTCAGATGGCACGTCAAAAGAGACAGCTGTTGAAGCAGAAATTCCCATGGAGCACAAATGAGCTTTGATGTGCACATTTTTTATTTGTATGAATCTCGGAAGGAGAAACATCAAGAATCCAATCTCACATTGGAGGCTGCCTTGAAAAAAGGGAAGTTATTCAGAGTAAGGTTTGTATCAGGTTTTCACAATACTAAACAGTGCTATAGAGCCTCCAGGTTTCATGTAGATGCACGGTAGTAGGTATTTGGACCATACATCTCTCCTTGTCACAGGGGAAGAATGCTGTTTTCATCTACTTTCCTCTGCGACCACAGCTGCCAACTGATTGAAGTCACCAAGCAATCAAAGGCTTTGATTTCTGAATCTGGTTCATTATGTGAATGTGTTCAAAACGAAGGAGCGTTTTTGTTTTTTTGTTTGTAACCAAGTGAAGGTCCTTATGTATCATACTTCCTGTGTAATTTATCTGTAAATAATGAGAGCAGCATTTGTAACCAAAAGTGGAAAAGAGAAAGAAATGCTCAGCAGATAATTGTAATTCGGCCTCCAAAGGGTGCTTTTATGTCATAGACATAGATGTACATGTATTTTGATTAACAAATATTTCATTTTCCACAGTGAGACAGTTAACCCTAACCCCCAAGCATATCATTTGGCTAACAGGATTCAGTACTACAAAATACTACATAGTAGTCTGAGCCTGAAGGACCAAGCCCTACAAATTACTACTTCCAGCTAGGGCACTTTCATTGTTACTCGTACAGAGAACAATAAAGTCATGCAGTCATAATGCCACATCACTGTATGGTACATTGTCTTATCTATTGTATTTTATGGTTTAAGTGAACAATAAGGTCATGTACTCATACAAGCGACAGTGCTGTTTGGTACATTTTACTACTGAGTAGTAATTTTTAGTATTATGTAGGGTTAGGGTTAATGGTGTTTAGAGTCTTGTACGTGTAGTACATTGTGGAGTGAAATTGTACACGTAAATGTCTGAAATTTGTTATTCTGTTAATTCTGCCATGTAATTTGTGTACAGAGCACTTTTGTTGACATGTTTGATGTGCTATGTGCATTGCTATCATTTTATGGCCCGAAAGTTGCAGAAAATCTTAGTTTCATCGCTTCACCCAAAAGAACCGGGGGGGGAGGAGAGAATCTGCCCTCCCCTTGACAGTTTCCCAATTTCACTGCAGTGCATTTTTTCCATGAGCGGAGCCTTGAGGGGTTTTTGTAACTCTTTGCAGTCATTTTGACTCCATTTTTGTGAAAATCAAACATACCATTCTCACATAGGGCCCATTTCCACGAGGAAGGTCAGCCAAAATGTGTTCCTTTCCACTGCCATGCTCAATGCATGCCAGCTGACACATGAGTAGCCTTCAACTTCAAATGACCATAATGACAAAACCATATGGTAAAGAGTGTCTTTACACACACACTAAGTTTGTAAGAAATCCGGCATGGGACAGCCGAGTTCTTAGGAGGAAATTGAAAGATCAATCTGGCCCCTGTCAGGTCTTAATGAAGATGGACCAATAAGGAAGTTGAGTATACGCTGTGATGCCTGAGATGGGTAAACTCTAACCGATTTTAAAGTGCCCCCTCCCCCATTGTCATCCCGTCCCTCAACAAACCTTACCCTTACCAAAGAATGACCATTTTGTAGCTTATAGTTGTTCATACGTGTAGCTAATACATGGCAATACATCGCTGAAATATTTCCCCCAAAAATGTGCCAGACTTTCTTTTTTCTGTTTGGAAATACCTGATCAGTTTTTCAGTGTTGTAACAGCGGAAGTGTGTGTGAAGTTTATTTATTAGTGTGCATTCAGAGGGGAAAAAATATGACTGATACATGCCTGTGAAGTCTTGTGTCCATATCAATGCAACGTGATGCATACGGCATTAGCAAACAGTCCCTGATGATGACGCTTAGCTTGAAGAAAATAGTACGGCCACCTTAAAAAGGCATTTGAAACAACACTTCTTGAGTTTCGAGTGCCGTTTTGTTCCAGTTTTTTGCCAAGGTCATTACACGCTCTCTGCATATGCAAACCAGGCATGAAAGGTCCAGTGGGAATGTTGGCTTTGTTTATGCAGTGCATTGTTTGATTGGATACTTTGAAGTGGTGTTGATCGGTGCTAATGGTGCTCAGTGTGTGGCTAGGATGGGTCATGTCCAAGATATCAGTTCATGTGATTATCCGACAGCTGGTGATGTCAATTGAGTGCATTAGCCCTTTCATAAACGATTCACCTGTACACTCAGGTAGTTCATTCATGATGTAGCATAAACATGTTCTACTTGAGCATTTGCAGGGAGTGAAAATTCGGCTTTTTAGCTGATGTCTGCTTTTTTGGTGTAGATGTTGACCCTGAATTTCAGTTTGTGCCCCTGGTCTGTACCAAAGTATGGAATTTTCTTAATATTTCAGCTTGTGCTAACTATTTTCAACTTCAATTTAAAGTGGCCACTCACACCCCTGCATTTGTTTTGTTATCTTTATTTAGTATTGTTTTCTTTTGGTTTCCTTTGTTTTTCTTTTTTATGGTTCAGTTTTATGTTTTCATTTTGTTTTGTTTTTTCTTTTTTTGTTTTGTGTGTGTTTTTTTGTTTTGGGTTTGTGTTGTATTATGTTACCATTTTTCTTCCTTTTGGAAGATTTCATGTGATCATCAGACAGCGATTCATTCACATCTACACTTGGGTAGTTCCTACATGATGGAGCATACATGTACTGCTTCTATGGCATCAGACATAGTGCTGTTCTCATGTCCAGTGCTTTCACTACCTTTTGACATCAGTTGATTTCATTACTCCAAACAATTTCAGCTACTTTGCACAGCTTGGTTTTGATAGACATGTTTTGTACATCCTGAAGTCAAGTTCCTGGCCTAGTGAATTTTTTGGCAAGTTTTGAAACTGGCTTTCATACTTCAAGAAAGAAAAAAAATCCTAGTTTTTCCCCTTGCCTAGACAATGAAGGCAATAATTTTTTGTTGCACATCACTCAGGGCTGTTCCATGAAAATTTTCCAATGGAATATACATTATACCCACCAGTATTTCAACACCTGCAGCTATGGGTACTCCATTAGCCATGCCTGAAGCTTTTGGGGGGGGGTATGGTTTTTGTTTTGTTGTAATTGCTCCCTTAGGATTTGTGCAAACATTTCTAGAGCGTCACCCAGTTATGGACATATTGCCCATTGTTCAGCATCTTTGATATCGATACAAATTCTGCAAACCCACATAAGTGAGCCTAGAAATCCCCCCCCCCGGCCACTGTAAACTCATGTTAAGCAGTGACATTCTCTGTCACCCTTCACAGTAGTCATGATTTGCCGCTGGGGGGGGACTATTTTGTTTGTACACATTTGGAGATTATTGTTTACAAATGTCATGTAATGCAAATTGTAACATTCTCAAATTCCAGAACGATATTTTCTGCTTGCTTCTGTTAAATTTTGTGGGAAATCTTCACTTTTATTTCCTTGAAGAAGCCTTTGCAAAATTTGTATTGTACGTGTTGTAAGGTTTTCCCCATGCAAAGCTTAGTTCTACCTCTTGTGAAGTTGCCCAGCCCATTGTGAAAAACAATCATTGATTTAAATACAGATGTAACGTCCATTCTGGGTGTGTTAGTATAGTGAAGTCTTACAGGCCAAGGAAAATTGCATCTATGAATTGTACAGACAAATTTGCAGCAGAACAGAATTTTACTTGATTATTGTGAAAAAGGGATGATGCCCTGTTTTTGCTGTTTCACAAGAAGGATGATTTTTGTCAATATTAAATTTTAAACAGTTATGTGTCAAACTTGATATGCTGGGTAGCAGAAGGCATCATTGGCCATTATTTAATGATGGGTTGCTGTCAATTTGGTTTTTTATAGTGTAATTGTTTAGAATAAAGAAAAAACACTGTGTTTGTAGAAAAACTGGTGAATTAATGGCTTGTTGTATCTATTAGGTTCCATTCTACAAATATCACTTTCATTTTGTCGGTCATGCAACAAAATCAGTCATGTGCAAAAAGTTTGTGTGTGAAGTTCTACCTACCAGTGCTGTAGCAACGATTCACAGGATATGAACTATAAGTCCTGGCCAACGATTCACAGGATATGAACTATAACGTCTGGTCATATTACATCTCAGTTGTGTTTTTTCTACAACTGGATGCTATGGCTGATCGTCGGTACAAAAGTTACAGAATAATGCACATGATGTTAAAAATCCGAAGCAGTTATCAAAACACCAGATAACAGAACAATAACCCTCCTTGAAATGAATGGGACGATATATATTTTAAATGAAATTGAGGTAAAATCGGAAACCTATCAATGGGTAATTTTTCTGCAAACTGTGGCCTCCCATACAAAACGATAGTGGCCTATTCATTAAGAGTTTCCTGGCCCACCCCCTCCATGTTTAGAACACATTACTAGGGATTCTACGTTGAGAAATTCAAATTCATGTGTCAGTGAGCTTCAGCTAACAAGGAACTTCCATTTAATTTTCTTTGCGATTTGCTCACAATTCACAATATCCCTTTCACTTGAGCTTTACGATAACAACCAAACAGCAAATTCTGTATGTTTCTCGGAAAACAGGTGTTTCTTAACCATTTTTGCAAACAAATCAATACAATCACTTATCACAAAAGGAAATTCCAGACAGTAGATCATCACGAACCTAGGTCCAAGGGATGGAACAAAGGTCGGCAGACGGCATTACTCTAAACCACACATCCTGTCATGAACGGCGAAATGATTTGATTTGGAGAGTGAAAGTCTGGCTGGCAACTCCCCTGCTTTTCCTGAAAGAGAGCCAAGAAACAGTTCCCTTATAAACAGAGACGGGCACTTACTGCCCTTCTGCATTTGAAGACATCGACCTGAGCTTAATTCATTTGATGTCCCTCCCCCCAAACAAAAACACTTTCTCTTCGTCCATTTGCGCTTGAAAATGTCATTCTTGTAGAAATTACCGAAAAGAATACAAGTAGTGACATAACGGATGTATACCTTTATGTTGGGTTATGCTTTCGCTGAACCACTGATTTTTTTAAACTAAACTCCAGAAAAAAACATTTGAAATGTTCAGCTTATGAAGTAATATGAAATTTTTACAAACTGGGAAAAGGGTACTCTGACCCTCTGACTACAAAAGTTTTCTGCAGTACGCCCTCTCGTGGCGAAGAAAACTTTTCTCGGCAGACGTTTTTCAATTTTAGCAGGAAAATGGCCGCTGTTCGAAGTGTCAGCTTTTCCTCGTTGCGGGGTTTAGCGCGCCACAAAATTTACAGTTTCCCGGCGTCTTTACGGGTGTTCTTGCAATAGGTTTACAAGCTTAGTTTCAACGATCACTCGGTGTACTCAAGGTAAGTTTTCGCCTTTTAATAAGGAACCTTAAGGAGATTTTTTCTTATCGGATAATCTCTGGAAAGTTACGAAGAAGGCGTTCAGTCTAGACGAGTGAGGGGGTTGTTTAATACGAAAAAGCTTTTGTTTGTAGCAGACGATGGGAATATGACTCAAGCGACATCACAGGAAAGTGCCTCACAAAATGAATCACTTGTAATTCAGGAAAGAAAGGAGAGGGGATGCAACCAATTCCCTTCCTGTAGGCTCTGTTCCAAGTCGAAACCGCAGAGTTTCTTTTTTGGGGGTGGGGGATACTGACTTACTGTTAGGCCTAGGTTTTATTGTTTAATAAGATTCATTGATTCAGAGCATTCGATATATTTTAAACTTACTTCTCCCCATTTCAAAGAAAAAGCCCTCAAAACTTTCCAAACCAGCAGAACAAATTTTTGCTTTAAATCTCATTGCAAAGGTCCAGCAAAAGAAATTTAATTTGCAAGTGACCAATTGAAAAGTATCCTCAAACTCAAAGATGGCAGTTCCAGACCTGTAAATAGGTTTTTTTTTAATTTGATATGCCTCAGCTATTTATTTTAACATTCAATTTGTGGTCTACAAATTTACTGCTAAATTTTGTGCAAATATCTACCTAGGCCTGTTGCATCAGTAAATCTTTTAAAATTCAGGATTGCTACACAGGACCCAGCCATAGACTTAGTGAGTCCAATTTTAGTCATGAAATTGTGCTGGCTGACAGGGTTTAACTAACCAGTATCCATCAGAATTGCACAGGAGTTCATGGCGGCACCCATTTTGCTGTGCAGTACAGTAGTCTACTTCTCACCCACAGATGGCCTGCTCATCCAGGCGTATTGTTTCAAGAGTGAACTCTACTATATCGGGTTCCCACCTTCTGGATCTAACAGATGAAGAATTTGATGCTGTTCTCCAAATACTGAGCCCAAGGGTATGTGCATAAACAATGGCAAACGTATAAATCAGGGTGCATGGGCTCGGGTGTACAACATACCTGTATGTATATGTACTTGGTTAAAACGTATTTGCAGTGATACATGTACATGTGCTCCCAGCTGGCACTTGTTTACAGTGTTCAAAGATTAAATAATACATGTAGTTTTGTAAATACATCTTTTGCATTCACCTATTTTTGGAGAGGTACGCGGTACCTGTAGTTGGTAAATGTTCACCATTTGATAACATGGCAACTGACAGCTGCAACACTGCTACAAACTATGTATACATGATTTGCAATGTGTAACAGTTACTTGTGTACTTGGTCTTGAAAGGGAAACTAAGTTTTCTGAGAATGTCTGAGAGGAACAGGAAGTGAAAACAGGGTAGAGGGAAGACGTTGGTTGCAAACCCCTAGTGCTTGTATACATGTACATGTATACCCTGCATACTTTAATGGGTCCAGTGTCAAGCTCTTGTTTCTGTTAGATGATCGGAGCAACAAGTTTATTTGTTAAAGAAATGATCTAAATTTCATCCAGGCTAAAATTTGATGACAAAACTTCAGAGTTTTTTTCATTTTCCTCGTGTGAACTGATCGTTTGTTGTGAAAAATTCCTTCCGATCAGTGTAGGCCTATTGATTGTAAATGTGTTGAAAGAGTTTCACTTTCTAAAGTCATATACAGTAAGAGTGTCAACCTCAAAATTATGGTATTCCTTCCAAAATGTATTATTGCACTTGGCAACACACTCAAACCTTAAATATACACCTTGTGCTAGCATCCAACCAGTTACAGTATCTTGCACCAGAAAACAGTTCTTTCCATAAATCCCTTCATTTCACAATGCAACTTGTCTTTTGTGACTAGTGCATTGATTTCAGAAATACTATTCTTAACTGCTAAGTCTGTGTTATAACGATCCAGGAAGAGAGTAATAAAATAAATATGTGTACTTCCTCTCAGACTACAAAGCATGCTACATGTAAATTGCCTTTTCTGTCCTAATGGCACTGGTAGTTTTGTTTCATTTTGTTTGGTTTTGTTTTGTTTTTTTCCCTGTTGCATTGCTGTCATGGTACCTACATGTTTTGTCTGCTTACTGATTTGCTGTTCACTTCATTACACTGTTAATTCTGTGCCTGTCCATTGTGCTACACTTTTGGTTTCAGAACAGGCTTCAAAGAAAATGCGCTCAACGTTTAACCTAGAAATAAGGTTTTATCACTGATTGTTGAGGAAAACTGAAACCATAATCATGTGTAAGCAGTGAAAAATTATTACAGATGTCCAGTCTAGGAGAAAAGAAAGGTCATTGAACTCTCATTTACAGGTATCTGTTTCAGTAGACTGTTTATCATATGTAAAGGATAACCAATATCGTTTTTATCCATGATTATAAGAAGTATACATGAACAGATCTGGTGTATTACATTGTCACCCAAATGTCATTCTTCCAGTAAATTGAAACAATTTATTTCATATAGACAATCCATTGCATTTGTATTTGATTGCATTAAGTTTGCACAAAAATAACTGAATAATATTTAAGCAGTACTGGTACATTTTCATGTACTTAGTCTTAACAATAATTAGCCCTCAATACCAAAACAAAACCTCATAATGACATTAGTTCTTGTAACTGCTCTCTTGACTAAGGCTTTAAAAAGCCTGAATAAACAATTAATATATGAAAAAGGTGATGGAAAATGGCATTTGAGAACAGACCCTTCTCACAGGGAAGCCACCATTGATCTTGTTCTCAGGATCTATATATCTTATTCACTGTTCTCTGTTAAATGGGTTGGTGCCAGACTAGTTTGGGTGCTTTGCCTCAGTGTCATTTTTTACGTGGCTTAAAACATTAGGATATACTTCCTCACAAATTTTGATTATTCATCAGCATAATTGACAGTCATATGTGATGAACTTTATTTAGTGTTCATTTTTATTCTCAGTTTCCCAAAATGAAAAAGTTAACCTTGCTTTGAATTCAGTATGACCAACTTGTTCAATAAGTTCAGGTACAGTCATACATGTAATCAGAAGAAAAATCAATGGATTGGAAAACCCATGTTATTGTTAGCACTGATGGGATTCAAGCCTGTTTGCACAAATATACAGTAGAGCCCAGTTGTACTGTGACAAATGTACCAGACTTTGTGGAGGTGCATACAAATGATCAAGACTTTTTGAGCTGAAGTTTGGATTAAGAGTGATTTGTCAACATGGTACTGTACTTCATGTACATGTAGTTCTGCAGGGACTGCCTTGTGGGTATGTCATGCAAGTGCAGATTGGCAAAAATGTAAGCAGCAGCTACCTCTTCATGAACTGTTGGTGCTGAGTGGGAACAAGAGATTAGATTTTTCATTTTTTGTTGGAACTCACTGCACTTGCTTGAAGGTTTTGGGGCATTTGCCTCGAGACCTGCTGAGCACGAATTGCTATTGCTGGTTATTAATACAAGCTATTGACTTTTGCACAAAGCTGTGCCGAATATCCGGATATTCAATTGATTATCGAATATTCGAATATTATTTTCCAAATTCGGATATTCAAATGCAAAATTCATGAGAATGACAGAAAAATTTTCTTTTGTTTTAAGTGAGAAAAATTGCACCATGGAGTCTTTTTCCAAGCAGATTCAAATGAAAAGCAACAGAAATCTTACAACAATTCAAGAAGTAAATTATTCATTAAAAAATTTTAAATGTCAAGAAGTATTGTTCGTCTCTAAATTTGCTAAAGTGTGGCTGGAGATACTCCTTACATGCGTTATTGCAACTGATTTTGTGGATTGTTCATCATCAACCTGCCAGTCGGTACAACCTATTATTTGGATATTTGATTGAATTGAAGGTCGAATATTCAAATAATGAATTGACTCAGCCCTAATGCACAACCGTGCGCAAAAGCCTTTACTTTTGTTCTGTTTTTGTCTTTTCTTCTCAATTGTCTCCTCAATTTCTATCAGTGCCACTTTGGTCACTTTGCAATCTTGCATCTTCGTCTGTCACAACGCTATTTGTTAGGGCGTTGTGTAGAACATAGGCTTTGTGCATGCCTTGGGTATACAGCATGGCCTGGCCAGGATCTGGTAGGGTGCCAACAAGCTTGCTGCAGCCAAACCTGCCTGTGATGATGAAAAGATGCTATCAGCAGTTCATCCCTTACCCACCCAAGGCCCATAACAGTAATAAACACTGCTTATCCACACTGTGAATATGCCTCGTGGATCCGCATGATAAGTTAACTTTGGAATTGCCACCTTCCTCCATGGTCTGTGTGGTTGTACACGTATGCAGTGATGAAATATATGTAGGCACATGTAAGTGTGTGGTCCAGTCAGTAATATACAGGACTCTAAACAAGCATGTAGTTCCCTAAGGTGTAAATGCGCAAGCAACAGAGCAGTTTCAATTATTTACTTAGTTTCATCATTAACAGTTACATGTAGACTGTACATGCACATGTACGTGTCTTAACAATAATATAAACTCAACAAAGAAGATGTATTACATGAATTTACTAAATATCCAATGGATTTTCTGTTGAAAGAAGGGGAAATATATCAAAATCATGTAAAATTATTCCTTTTATTGGAGCTCAAGTTGCTTTAATAAAAAAATATAACATTATCTTTCACAAAAATGATGTCAAGAGGACCTGAAAATTGAGGTGAAACAATGATGATGTCATCACTGGATATCTAACAACTTCTTTCATTTTTTGTATTTTAAGATTTTTTTTATCTTTGGAAGGACTGAAAGAAGGAAATTTAAAAAATTCATTTTCCAAGACCTTCAGTACTTATGCACATGTTTGCAAAGTAGATGTGTGGGCGAATTTTGAAAATTGGTAACATCATGATGACATCATCAGAAAGTATAATTTAATACACCTACTTAATAATGTCAGATCAACGTCAAAGTAATAAGGTTGGCAGAGCTTCTACTCCAGATCATATTTGCGAAGTTAGGTTATCGTCACGTGATTTATTATTAAATTTTGAATATTTAGTACAAACTGTACACAGTTTACTACGGGTGGCTTCGGACACTTTGCAATATTTCATCTTCATCAAACATACACAGAGAATCAGCCTTCATACATATATTATTTTGTAGAGTTAGGTCATCGTGGCAATGACAGAGATCACATGACACGCCTCAAAGTTGCAAGCCAGTATCTTCAGAAGCATAAGTCTGTCTTGGACGAAACACACATTGTAGTACAGGCACACTCACAAAGGAAAATGTGATATTTTTAATGCGTTTTTAGATTTTACTAATTTTAACAGTCTTTTCAACGGATCTCCTGCACATTTTTTTTCTAACTTCTGTTTTCAAAACCTTGTGTAGACCAAGTAGATATGCAGGTTGAGTTCAAATGTTTTGTGATGTCATGAGACATCATTCACATACTAAGCAAACTCTCATCAATTTTACAGGGTAAGCCAAACCTAAACTCCTAAATACATGTATATACATGAAGTGACGTCATGTTGACGTCAATCTTGGAATTTTTGTATCTACAAACTGTTGAGTTGAATCAGTTTGAAGCATTTTAATACATCTTGTTGGCACCATTAGTATCTTGGAAACCAAAGTAACTATCGCATTATTATCGTGTGATTGTTGCACTTCAGTTTACACAGCAGAGAGTCGCACCATTTCCTGACTGTTATCTTAGGAAAGATCTGCAGCGTTTGTGTCAGCTTTAACCAGACTGATTTATTGAGCCCCGCCCCATGGTCTTTTGACCAATCACAGCCATGCACAAATGTCAGCCATGGGTGCACTCACATATGACACATACAGCTCCAAAGCAATATGGCATCAGAGAGAAGCATGTGTTAATTTATTTCCAGCAAAAAATGAGACCAAGGGGTACCCCTCAACAGGGCCAATCGCTATACACGCTCTAGACCATTGTTACCTAACACATCCCCCCCCCCGGATGTCTGAAAAGAATTCCTCGGATTCCATTGA